AAAAAAAAAAAAAACAGTGCTCAAAATACAGCTGAGTTTTGCTTATGGATTAGTATTATTACTATTGTTATCTGAGTTGAGCTTTAAGTGAAAGCAATCACATTAGATTCACATATTCAGCAAAAACAGAGAATCAAACAGCTTCCTAGGACAGACAAACAAAACCGACATGAGTATCTAAAGTTCTGCCATTTTTCTTAATACATGTTTTTTATAATGAATAAACAGAGTGATAAAAATACAACTGACTCGAAATTTCTGACCCCTAAAAATGGCTCATATTCATAATGCCAGTAAGAAAAAACACACAAGACCTCAACTGTAATAAAGGAGCTTTCTTTTGGTCACCAATTATAGCCAAAAATAACATCCATTAAGGAAATGATCTAAATCACAATCACCAACATAAAACAGAATACCTCTCTCAGGACAAACATCAAACACCTTATGCTCAACAACAATCATATACATAAAAATCCACACTTTCATAAACAAATTATGCCAATCAACAATCAAAACTCAATATCACCTGCATCAGAAGCTTTCGGGTAGCCGTCGTACTCCAATTTTCACATTCAGACTGGCGCAAATAGCCCTAAATTTGAGCCTCAGGGAGTCCATCATATCCGAGACTGTCTCGTTTTCCGGCTCCAAAATGGGGTACTTCTTGAGCAGCTCATCCATCTTCTTAATCATCCGCTCGATTCGGGCCGAGACGAAGTCCGGGTCGACCCGAACCGCGGAGCTCCAAACGTCCACGCAGCCTCTGTAGAAGCCCAATTCTTCGCCGACCTCGAACCCAGTTTTGAGGCCCACTTGCCGGCCCTCCTCCTTGCCGGCGATTAGGCCGTCTCCGTGTCCCTCGCCGTAACCCTCTTTGAAATGGGTCTCCTCCAAGTTCAAAGAAGACGCAAAGATGTCTTCTATGCCGCCGTCCATGCAGAGGCCGTCGGAAAATTCTCTGCTTTATCAACAATTGTGTATAAAACCAGCAAATCCATTAATATAAAGTTGGGTCGAGTCAAAATTTTACCTTATTGAGGCTCAATTTTTTTTTTTTTTTTAAATACTCAAGCTCTCGACTTTTTAAGATTGAAACTCGACTAAACAGAAAAATATTACCAATGCTTCACATCGGTTTGGAGTTTGAGGTGATCGTCGGCCAAATACGAGCTTCATGCTACTCAATTAATTTGTAGCCCTAGTTGGGCCTATTGGGCAACTTATGTAACTCACAATAAGATTTACTGTATAAAATTCAAATGAAACGGAAAACAGACTCAAACTAACTAAACTTGCTTCTTGCTTGAATGTGCCTAATTTTGTTTGTTAACCTGTATTACATTTGTTGGTCTTCTCCCTTTAAAAATTTGCTCTCTTTTTACTATTCTTTTTATTTATGTTTTAGCACCTGTATATAGATGGAGCCTACAGAAAGCAACACTATTAGTGTGATGAATGATCCCAATAAACCAGGCCATCTCAGAAAATAACACACTTGGAACTATAGGTCAGTTTTTTTTTTCTTTTTTCTTTTTTATCTGTTTCGAATTTACATATTCATAATTTCATATGATTTTCTTAAAATATTATGTGAATTACATGTAAGCTATATGACAAATAGATAGAAAAAAAAAAAGGCAGTTGTTTAGAAAGCTAACAAGTTTGCACCTATGAAGAGCAAGAACAAAATTACATTACCAATACAATAACACGAATCATTAACAGGTCCCATAATTCCTAGGCACAACAAAAGTTTATTCATATAAAAGCACACACCATTAAATTGAAAAGTACAGTACGGCATTACCGTATTTGAGTTCCCAAGGGCTAAGCGCGGCTGACGGGCGGTGTGCGACTGGGATGATTTCAGGGCGCCGGACGGCTAGGGATTGGGACGGACGGCGAGGGCGGAATTAGTGCGGCAGACGGCTAGGGATTGGGGCGGACGGAGGGTCGAGTGCGACTAGGTCTTCGATCGATTTTGGGCGAGACGGGAGTTGGGAAGACGGCGGACGACAAGGATTTGGGTAGGGGGGGCCTGCTGTGCATAATAAACAGCACATGGTGCTGTGACATGTGAGCCGTTGGATAATATTAGTATATTACTTTAATCTAACTACTTGTTAACTTGAAATGCAAGAGTGAGACTTGTTAAGAAAGAGAGAATGTTTCCCATTTTACATTTTACAAAGAGAGACTTGTTTTAAAAAATTTATCTACTCATAAAATTATAGTGTTATATTTTTATATTGTTTTTTAATCTAATATTTTTATATAACAAATTTGTAAAATCACTTAGAAAATTATATATGTAGGAGAGACAACATATTAATTGATTATTTCAAGAGAGAATAAATATGTAAATTGTAATTCTAAATAACTATGTTTTTCTAAACAATGTCACAATAAAAAAAAAAAAAAAAAAAAAAAAAAAAAAAAAAACTAGAATGTGGCTAAATTAACTAAATGGAGTATTTTGAAAAGCTTAATTATTAAAAATTTTATAAGTTTCATATTTTTAATTACATATTACTTAAAAAATAATGGATTGATATTTTTTAAAAAGTGTATATTTTCTTTGCGTTTCGGCCTCGTTCGGGCTCGTACGAACTCGCAATTGAGTTTCGTTTTTTCCTACACGTTACAAACGAACCCCTTTATCTAATAATGCTTGCATGACCAAATTATTCTTGAAATCATATTCTCCCAAAGCTCTTGACCTACTCACTAAACGACAAACGTGTTTCGCGCGACTTTGCTTTTTGGACCCGTTCGAACTCATAAAAAAATATAATAAGAACTTTCTTTTCAAGAACATCCATTATTCCCCCATATCCGGATGTTCCACTATAAACTTTAAGTGCATAGATACTTCAATTATATCTAACTTCAAGCAAAAACTTGACACAAGAGAACACAATGAAAACATTTAGGAGTATGGGAAATTTGACTAAAATGAATACTATTTCATCCTCACTTGTTCTAAAGACTAGCTTCTTAAATCTACCTCCAGATGCTAAAAAATTATTCATCATACCAAACAATCAAGATCACACTTACACAGTTTCCCCTCAACCAATAATATATTAATATTAATGTTGCAGAATTTTACAAATATAGGTAAACAAAAAGAAATGTTCCGATAGACACAAAACAGGAAATAAAATTACATGTCAAAACAACACAAAAGAAATTAACTACAACTTGGAATAGTCTAAACAATGACATTCTTCACAAAAAAATCACAATATAATGATCCGGTAGAGAAAGCAAACGCCTCCTATGGGTGGTTGGTATTTCGCATCGCCACGGGATCCTACAAAAATATTTAGGTAAACAAGAACATGCATATTAGAAAACAAATCATACTTGGTATTCTAAAAAAATAAATTCTACTACCTCTTCAATTTGCACATTATATTTCTTGGTTTTCTTCATTCGAGCCTCATGTAAGGGCTTCATTCTTCTTGTTCGTCGTTTTCCTTCTTTCGTCTTTAGACCTTTCAAGTTTCCGACGGCACTTTCGACATTTTTCAAGATATCACCATCCTTGGAATTTTCTTCTCTCATCGAAGCCTCGTAGATTTTGTCCATGTTTTGTTCAAACATGTCCTCCATTAGGCTACGTGCAACCTCACTCTTTGAAGCTTGGTATGACATTCTCAAAAATAATGAATGCATTCTTTCGTTCCATTCTATGAAACTATGACCAATATCCTTGGATTTTGAAGGATCAAAACTCCTTGCTTTTCTTTCCCACCGACTTAAGATGTACTTATTCGGAAGCTCTAATATATCAAAGAACTTGAATACCCTCAAAATATGGGAACATATCAATCCCTTACTCTCAAACATCATGCAACTACACGAGAAAAAATTATCGCTAACACGAAACACTTGAAATTCTTTATGCATAACACCATGAAGCACAATCACAAACCAAGTAGGCACCTCAATAGTCTCTTTTTCTTTAATTATAGATATCATTGATCGCTTGTACTCTTCTTGAAAAAGATGAAATATTGATGGTGTGTACCTTTTTGATGCCTTTTGCAATATCGGGCACTCGGCGATGCTCATCGAGGGAACTTGTTGTCGTGCTCTAAATTCGGAAGCCAACTCCTTATCTCTTTTATCAACCACCACTCGATCAAAATGGTTAAAAAAATCACTAATATGTAAAGCACAATTCAAATGATTTTTTAAGTCTTTATTCAAACTCTCACTTAGTTGCGTACTACGAATACCCAAAGTGAAAACATGTTTCATGAAACACCTTGCCCATTTATTCTTTACAACATAAGTCCGCTTCAACCAAGAGTTCTCTTGTAAGCCATGCTTTTGTAACATATTACTCCAAGAAGCTTCAAACTCATCAACATCAGTATACTCATACATACATCGATTAAAATCTCCCAATAAGTCGGTTTCAGGCCTATGAAAACAAGATAAATGCTTCAGTGCATTTTGATTAATATGCCACGTACACAAGCCATGAAAAGAATCCCCCATAACTATATCGAGTGCATTAGCCATTGCTGCATCTTGATCAGTAAATATGGTGAGAGGTTTTTTTCCACCGTGTTCCCTCAAGAACGTCTCAAAGAGCCAAACAAATGACTCTATTGTCTCGTCATATAAGAGGGCAGCACCGAATATGGTGATCTCTCTATGATGATTAAAACCTGTAAAAACGCCGAGGGGTCTCAACTCTTTGTTAGTCCCATATGTCGTATCGAATGTTATAACATCCCCAAAATCAACATAATCGACTTTCATTTTACCATCAACCCAAAATATATTACTCACTAGGCCACCATCATCAAACTCAAAATCATAAGAAAATGAAGCATCTACAACTTTTTTCCTCTCGAAATACTTCATAACACTACCAAGTTCACCTAGCATTTTTTCTTTCTTTCTTCTATTTCTCAAATATGTTTTTTTATCTTCCTTAATAAATCCAAGATGCTCTCTACCACCAGCCTCCCTAATCATCAACTCTTGAGTTGCCTTAGGGGTAATTCCAGAATCATTTGCTATGTTGATGGCAAATGCTTGAGACAAATTTACATTTCTATTACAACGAAACATATGAACAGTTTCACTTGACTCAAGCTCATGATTATGAGTCGTCACAAAATCCTTAACAATATATTTTTCAGAAATCGGGTTTAGTGCTACATTCAACTTTGCTTGGCAACCAGTTCTTACCTGAAAGCGTTGACGAGATTTATCGTTGACCCTTTTGTCGTCTTTACGAAATCCTTCTTTATAACATACAAATACGGCATTTGTAATTACCCCATCCTTTCTCCGCTTGTTTGAATAATCTTTCCGAACACCAAAGCCTATCTTTTTGCCATATTTTTGCCAACAATCCCAAGCATCATGTACACAAATAAACTCCGTTCCAATTCGAAGGCCTTGATTGAGTATATCATCAATATTTGGAGAGCTCAAGTTGGCCTCTTCAATATTTTCAGCTTCAATTCTACATTAAATGCAAATAAAATTAAAAAAAAATTAAGAAAAAATTGTAAAAAAATCCACAAAAAAATATGTCAAAGGACTTTCCAAAAGACAAATAAAATATGCCAAAGAAAAAATTTGTGACTGTGAACACAACAAAATATTTACAACTACATTAAATACAAATAAATATTCACTTCCTAATTAGTTATGATAGATATAGAGCTGTTATCGTTTTTTTTTTAGAGGCTAAAGCAATTAATCATCCAACAAAATACAGAAGCTTGGGTAATTGTACACAAAAACAAAATCTCACATACTCCACAATTGGTAATACTTCAACATATCTCTTAAGCTCAAGCAAAGTATTGTCATGTTCATTGCAATGACAAAGAAAGCAACAGTGGTGCAGAAAAATAGAAATAAAAGAGGAGCTCCAAGTAATTATCTTATTGCAATGTCTT